ATCACTTGTGTCCTTGTGTCGGATAGATACCGGATCACTTGTGTCCTTGTGTCGGATAGATACCGGATCACTTGTGTCCTTGTGTCGGATAGATACCGGATCACTTGTGTCCTCGTGTCGGATAGATACCGGATCACGTGTGTCCTTGTGTTGGATAGATACCGGATCACTTGTGTCCTTGAGTTGGATAGATACCGGATCACTTGTGTCCTTGTGTTGGATAGATACCCGATCACTTGTGTCCTTGTGTTGGATAGATACCGGATCACGTGTGTCCTTGAGTTGGATAGATACAGTGGAACTCGGATTCAACAAGGTCGCCGGGCCTGACCTAAAATCTCGTTGAATCCGAGTGTCCGTTATAGCATACACGAGGTTTTGTGTCGATAATTACAGGCACTGAGCAAGTAATGTATAAAGAGAAGTCACAAGTAGGGCCTGAAATGCCTGCATATTATGAGCTGTGTAAAAAAAAAAGATCGATTCGTTCAAATGCACAAGCCTGTGTCATCTCGATTGTTTACCAAAAACTTGTGTTGCTGCGTAGACCCTAGCATACGGCAACTTTTGATTCCATAGACCAGCGCATAATTCATTTAGTAGATCTACGTCAAAACTAGCTTATCATTGCAATAACGATCAGTTGCCGATGCGAAAAAAAGACTGATGTATTTGTATCTGCCACGTTCAACGCCCGGACCGCTAGTGTGCACCCCTCCCCCCCCCCAGACACGAAAACACAGTCACACATGTGCAGGCCGCCCATCCGACCCTGACACACGCCAGAGTAGACACGTGCGTGTGCCAACAATGCATGTGCTGGTATGAAAGAAAGCAGCTGATTGGTCACATGCAATCGACTAAGTGAATATTGGTTCAATATGCAGGTGCAATGGATGGTTTCCGGGAATAGATAAAGTTCGTTGTGGGAGAAAAATGAGCGAAGCCACATATCTGCGGGGGCTGTTCATCCTGGAGGCGACCTTGTTGAATCCGGGTTTTTTAAAGTGCTCGTTGAATCCGGGTTTTTTAATTGATTTTAAAGAAGAAAAAAAAAAGGGGAATCTATCTCATTTCGTTGAATCCGAGTTCCACTGTAACGGATCACTTGTGTCCTTGTGTTGGATAGATACTGGATCACTTGTGTCGGATAGATACCGGATCACTTGTGTCCTTGTGTTGGATAGATACCGGACCACTTGTGTCCTTGTGTTGGATAGATACCGGATCACTTGTGTCCTTGTGTCGGATAGATACCGGATCACTTGTGTCCTTGTGTCGGATAGATACCGGATCACTTGTGTCCTTGTGTCGGATAGATACCGGA